TGTGTGTGAGTGAATGTGAGTGAGTGTGTGTGTGTGTGTGTGTGTCAGTGTGTGTGTGTGAGAGATTGTGTTTGTGAGTGTGTGTGTGTGTGTCTGTCTGTGAGTGTGTGTGCGTGCATGCGTGCGTGTGTGTGTGTGTCTGTCTGTGTGTGTGAGTGTGTGAGATTGTGTTTGCGTGTGTGTGTGAGTGAGTGAGTGAGTGTGTTTGTGAGATTGTGTGTGTGAGTGTGTGTGTGTGTGTGTGAGTGTGTGTGTGTGTGTCCTCTGGGATGTAACTGAGCTCACGAGCTCATCAGAGATGCAGCGCTGCTCTGTCAGACAGGGATGCTGAATCGTGTGGGAGTGCCGCTGCATCCAGGAATCACATTCAGTATTTGATCATATGCGTTTAGTTGCTCGAATGTCTGAATTGATTAAAGAATAGTTCACCTAAAAATCATCTCAATGTCATTCCAAACCCAAATTACTCTGTAACTGCATGGAAAAAAATGTATTCAATCAATGGAGACCCAATCTTTTTAGCTTCAAAAAGGATGCAAAAGCATCTTAACAGTTATCTATATATGACTCCTGCACTGTATTTCAAGTCTTCTGTATCCGTACAATAGATTTGAATGAGAAGCAGACTCAAATTTCCGGGCTTTGTGACCTTTGAAACGATTGAAAAGATCTGACGTAAAAGAATGATTCATTCACAAATTAGTCATTGCTTCGTCTCTTATGAACACTTTTGAAACTCAAAAGCTTCGGTGCATATTTATTGTAATTGTATGGAAAAGAGTGACCATACATTGTCTAAATCTCTTATTTTGTGTTTCACTGACGAAAGAAAGCAATTTGAAATTAATATTTATTTTTGGCGATATACGCAACAGTTTGGGGTTGGTACGATTTTTAATGTTCTTTTTTAAAAGTCTCTTCTGCTCACCAAGCCTGCATTTATTTGATCAAAAATGCAGTAAAATCAGAAAAATTTAGAAATATTATTACAATTTAAAATAGCTGTTTTCTATGTGAATATATATTAAAATATAATTTATTTCTGTGATGCACAGCTGTATTTTCAGCATCATTCCTCCAGTCTTCAGAGTCACATGATCTTCAGTATAATATGCTGATCTGCTGCTCAAGAAACATTTCTGAAACAGTTAATAGTTTTGTGAAAATCATGATACATTTTATTTTTTATAATTCTTTGATGAATAGAAAGTTCAAAAGAACAACGTTTATTTGAAATGGAATATTTTTTTGTAATTATAAATGTCTTCACTGACACGGTTGATCAATTTAATGCACCTTTTCTGAATACAAATATAAATTTTCCTGCAAAAAACAACTTCCTGACTATAAAAAGTCTCAGATGTGCTCTCTTCGCTTCAGCTGCTGTTTAATGTTGGCTGTGTTATTTTGCGCAGGGCGTACAAAACAGTCCAGGAGGAAGATCTGAAGTTTCCACTCATATACGGAGAAGGAAAAAAGGTAAGACAACAGTTAGACACTTCACAGCTGACAGAAACCACAGCTCGCTCGTTCATGACTGTCGACGCGTTAATTACACGTCTTTAAACAAGTTTAGTGTCCTGTATCTCGTCTAGGTCAGCCTGTCTCTGTTTACCATCAATAAATGCTCTAAGACTTATTGTGCACAATTCATAACTGCACTCTATTGTAAAGAAAATAGTTTTCATAATCTTCCATTAAAATGCAACACCTTGCTCTGTGTTCGAGAAGACTTTTCTTTCCGGCTGATATTATCAAGACCAGACGCCGGTCAGTTCGCTCATGTGTTTGTGAACCGTGTTTTGTAGAGATTAGAGGCTATTTCAGTTGTTTTTCTCTTTAAGAAAGAATTAAAAGGTGAAAAACACTCTGGATTCCTCTTTGCCAGATTTGGAGAATAAACCATCATATCAGCGAACTTTAGAGAGACAAGAACTTCAGAAAAAACATCTTCAGGTGTTCAGAAGCAATTGCACTGTGAGATTTCACGTCTGTTGTTTTTATGTCAGTGAGACCAAGAGATCGCAAAAAAATGCATTATCATTTCTCACTAATTAATTAATTAGTGGTGTTTGCTACAGTAAGTCACTCATCACTTAATACTAGTATTTAAAGAAATAATTCTCCCAAAAATGACATTTTCTGTGCTGAAATGTGCTCACCCTCAGGCCATGCTCAAGATGAAGATGAGTTTGTTTCTTCATCAGATTTGGAGAAATGGATCAGTGCATCACTGCAGTGTTAATTTTGACATTCAATTTTGATTTAGTTTTAGTCATAGTCGTTTGACTAAAATGCCATTTAGTTTTATTCATATTTTAGTCATCTAGTTTTAGTTGACTAAATCTACAGTATATTTAGTCGTCTACAATCTAATGGGTTTATTTACAGTGTAATGCATTTATTAAGCATTTCTCTAACATTTCCGAACTCATTATATAGGTTTGATATTAAGGTTTTATCATGATAGACACCGGTTTAACTGCGGTGACACACAACATGCCTTTATGTTAAAATTAAATAAAACCATTTCTCATAAAGAACAAGAGTCTTCTTTTAAATTAAATACCAATGGTTATATAAGCTACTTATGCATTCTTTATAGCAACTTGTTTACCATATTCTTCATTCTTTCAAGCAGACATATTTATTTCTATAAATACATTTAGATTCATCTTTAAGGCTACTAAAGTTTTTCAGTTAAGAGCAGTGCGTGATTTTCTGTCTTTCTGTTGTTGCTTGATTAATATCAATGACTCGGACAATAGCAACTAAATTAGGCTGCTGTCCCTTTAAAACCGAATGCACTGCTGCAATGGATGCAATGCACTGATACACGTTCTCCCTGCTGTTTACGTTCACTTAAGACGTAATCAACTGTGTTTACGTGAATTCTCATTCTCAAAACGGACAATTCGACATCATTTTGTGTGTAATTCTCCGTTCATGCGACGCTAAAGAGTGCTCGCGCGAGCGCTGTGAGAGGCGCTTTCTGTGTGTGTAACGTTATGCTTCAGTGTCTGCGCTCTGAAAACCGGACCGAATTGAATTCTCTCTTGCGTCGTCAGATTTATCCATACGTCTGCTCTTCTCTTACTCCCACATATTGACATTTTTGAATGTTTTATGAGACGTGCAGCAAGTGTGTGTTAGCTTATGTCCCGCCGGTTCATATGTACACATCTAACCTCCGAACC